AATAATAAATAACAATAATAAATAATAAATAACAATAATAAATAATAACAATAATAATAATAAATAATAATACTACCAAATAAAGTATCCCTAACTAAATTAGACCTATACAGACTGGGCAAATCCGCACCTGACACCGTAATAAACATATAATAATAATAATCAATGAATAATATAAATAATATATAATAATATAAACAATAATAATATATAATAATAAATAATATATAATAATAAATAATAATAATAATAAAAATAATAAAAAATAATAAATAAAAATAAGCTCCGCCCACTTTTTCTCGGCAATAAATTTCTCGGCTTGTTTCTTAATGACCAATTGATAGGGTTCTCGATCCTTGAGGTGATCCGTTATCGATAACGCTTTATCGTATTCACCTCGCTCCAGGTGGATACGCCACACACTCCTTTTATTTATTATTATATTTATTATATACATTAACATTATTAATATACAGTAATAAATATAATAAATAATACATTACAATAATAATAAATAATAATAAATACAATAAATAATAATAATAAATAACCAAAATCAACCCACTTTCCCTCCTCATTCGGTCGATATCGAATGATATTCGAGTCGGTATAAACCCAGATCGATTCGGTCACATTATCACGACACATTCCACGCAGTTGACATGACTCCTCAAATAATAATAACAATAATAAATAACAATAAAAATAATAACAAAGTACAATAAATAATACGAAATAATAAAAAATACAACTCTCAAAACGCTTCCGCCCCAGCCCGGAACCGAACCTACGCCCCACCCACACACCGCCCCCACCACCTAGCCCTAGACCAATCCACTAACCGACTGCGCCACCCAAACATCCACTGCGCGTGCCTCCCTCTCACCATGTTCACTCTCTATTAACACTTACAAATAATATAATAATAAATATAATAATAATATTAAATATAATAAATAAACATTAAAAAATAATAAAAATAATAACAAAATAAATAAAAATAACCAACGATCGCAATCACATCGTTAAATGTACACTTTTGATTCAAAATCGATATCGCCTCGAATCGATCTCCAAAAATAATCACCAAATGATAATCCGTCAACGCAATATCCAACGGATAATCATAACGACCGTTCACTAGTCGATGTCTGCAATTATATTATTTATTATTTAATATTATTACATTTATTAATATTACATATTATTTATTATATTAATTAATA